GTAGAGAGATACTGTGTATTGTACACAGTGTGTCCCTCCCCGAAGAACTTGTCCCGTTTAGTACATGATCTGTGTGCAGGGGGGAAACCTTGGTGCAGATGAGTGAAGACGCAGAGAAGCAAAGGAGTGTGCTGGTATGGCGGGCCTCAAAGACGCATGCGTGGGAAAGAGGACATGGGGCAGATAACAATGAGAGGCCCATGGCTTCTCCTCCAGGGCTCTGTGAGGAAAGCAAATCAAATGTTCCTCATATGCATGCTGACTCAGCGAGGGTCAGGTGGGCTGGTTATTGTTGTTGTGTGGCATGTGGCGGCGTCCTCCTCCGAGCATAGCACACTGGACATTTGCCTGGAGTTGGGGTTTTACTAGGGAAAGAGTAGACTCAGCTAGGAAGGAGGGAGAACCTGGGTGATGCAAGGAGGAGCCGTGTCAGGGACAAACAAGTGGTGACAGAGACAAAGATCCAGGAAATGTGTGTCCTGGTCCAGGGCTGACAGGATTTTCCAAGAGTTTGACAAGAAAAAGGACACAGACAAAAGGGTGAAGAGGAACACTTATCTTCCAGCCATGCTTTGGTCCTCACAGAGACAATTGGAGACAGTGTTCAGGCCTCAGGATCTCTTCTCATTATCCTAAGAAATATTGTGACCACATTTCTTTGGAGGACCCTCCATGAGCTTACGGGACTGTCCCGCCTTGGTTACTAGGCCTTTGAAAAGAATGACACTGGATATTTTTGATCTTGGGTGAGCATTCATTCTAAGGGTGCTAGAGCTGTACTACCATAGAGTCAGACACACACACGAGTGCTAGCTAGGAGCTGGGACTCCAGAATCAATGGCGCTCCTAGAAACAAAGGGAGTAAGCACCAAGGCTCTGAATCAGAAGAAACTGACCATTGCGCTCAGTGTGGCTCCTTAGAGTGGTGCGCTGTTTGCCTCTAGGAACTCTGGGTTTAGAGGAGTAGGCAATGGCTGCTGAATTTTCTTCTTCCGGTGAGTACACCCTGTGGAGTTTTCCCAGGATCTAGCTGATTTAAAAGTCTAGAATGTTGTTTGAGTCCTCACTATCCTCCTCTTGTTCACAGGCCATGCTGTGAGCCTCTCAGTCATGGTGAGGAATGAGGGAATTTGGAAGTGCAGCTCTCCAGCTTCTCTGTTTGTTTTAGTTTAGGACTTTTGTAGAAAAGGAGCTCACTACAAAAATTGTATCCTCTGCTAAACTCAGAAATGCAAACTTGAATCCTATGCGGTACCTACAAAACGAAAGTCCCTGGTCTTCCTCTTAGTGACCCGTGGTGGCTGAACACGAGGACGGTCAAAAGCGAGGGGAGAGTCTTCATGCTACTCATTAGAAAAGGCTCTGGGGCTTGTTGGCCACCACGCAGAGGCCACTTGCTTTGCCCCTGGTAGGGAGGAGCTGGGGCTCCAGTAAGGAGCTGAGGGTACCATGGGGTCTTGGGGACTCGGCGATGACCGGGGCCTATGGGGAGCAGCTGTGTTCACTGGGGGAGCTGGAGAAGTCGTGAGGGGATAGGGCGTGGCTCCTTGGAAGAGTGTGGCTGTGCAGGCCCTGGCCCCCGGATCCCATGGCTAGCGCTGTTAGCACTGGTGCCAGTGCACACTGGAGTAGACTCAGGGTTCACAAAATTAGAATCAAATGTAAAAATCTCACATTTTATTTTAAACATAAAGTATATTTTATCTTCATAGCTTAGTGACGGTCTAAGAAGTTTGCTAATCTCCCTTGTCTGGAAAGCCAGAAATGGCTTTTTTTGACACTCATCACCAAATACTGTACTTCTTCCTTCCCCACTGTTGTACTGGCTTGTGCTAACAGGCTTGTGCCTTCATGGCTCCTAACTCATATCGCTGCATATTTAGGTGAAATGCATTTTCTGAAAATACAAATAATTGTAGATAGTTTAAGAAATATGCAAGCATGAGGAAGAGATTAAGATAACGTATAATCTCGTCACCTAAAACAGTTACTACAGATATGTGGGTACACTGGCCTTCAGTCTTCTCCCTGAAGTGTAGACGTCATGTCACCTCGCTGAGGCGAGTGTTAATACAAATGCCTTATTTTCATGCATCTCTTCACTTGAGCATCTGTCATGAAGAAACCCCATGTTGTCACTCTTCCCAACGGTGGCACTTCACAGTCTAGCTGTCCCATCACTATTTAATGGTTCAAATTTTAAAACGTCTATATTTACCTACATTTCTTGGCGTATATTTCTCTAATCGGGGTCTCTTCTAAGTAACGAGCATCCCTAGACATGATGTTGACCTACTAAGTAAAGGGCGCGTCCATGCCTTGGGCTATGTTCACAATTTGGACTTTTAGTACAAGGTAGCATCTTGATGTCAAATGAACAGGTGCATGAAAGAAAGCTTTCTAGCTCTACATAGACTATTTAATACCCAGAATAGTCACATAGCTTGTTTTTCTTAGTAAGATTGCCTTTAGTTGTGATGGAAAACAAATTCTGAGATATATTAACCTAATTGTCATTATGTATTAACCAACTCCCCTAAACAAGGCAAAGTGTTCATGATAAAAAAAAAATGTTACATTTAGGGGCTGGGAAGGTGGCTCAGTTGGTAAAGTGCCTGGCTCACAATTCAAGGCCCTGAGTTGGGATGCCGCATGCTGGACACCACCGTGAAAGGTCAGCTTAACAGCACGCACCTGCAGTCCCAGCGCTAGGGCTGTGGACAGAGGAGGGTCCCTGGGATCGCTGGCCAGTCAGTCCAGCTGAACTGCCAAAGTCTCAGCTCAATTACTGATGTAATCAGAGTGGCATTCAAGGTTAGCCTCTGGCTTCCAATTGTGCACACACACACGCTCACTCACACACACACACACACACACACACACACACACTCACACACCGCACATACACACAAAGAAATAATAAATAAATGATAATGAAATCGCCCAAATAATGATTCTTGCCTTATGTCCATCCATACTGAATCACTTTGTATATGTGTGCTCCTTGGAAATACTTTAGAAACTGTACTTTTCAAAACTCTGCCTCATTTCCAAGGGAGGACCTGAAAATAAGCCACTCACTATAGCTACTCTTATTTTTTTATGTGCTTTTTCTTCCTAAACTCTATAGGGAGGGATGCAAGTGGCTGGCAGAGCTGACTAAGGGAGAGTGGACCTTTCTGGTTACATATACAGGTGGCAGCTGTGTCCTTGAAGCAGCGCTCAGTGTCTTCCGTTTGAGGTGAAGAGTGGAGTTACAGCATGTACCCTGTAGATTTTTAAATGGCTATCCCATATTATACAGCTAATATCCACTTATAAGTGAGCCTATACCCTGTGTGTCTTTCTGGGTTATTCACTCAGGATGATCTTTTCTAGTTCCATCCATTTGCCTGCAAATTTCATGATTTCCTTATTTTAAATAGATTGGTAGTATTCCATTGTGTAAATGTACCACAGTTTCTGTATCCATTCCTCAGTTGAGGGACATCTGAGTTGTTTCCAGATTCTGGGCTGTTACAAATAAAGCTGCTGTGAACATAGTTGAGCAAATGTTCTTGTTGAATGGTTGGGAATCTTTGGGGTATATGCCCTGGAATGGTATAGCTGTATCTTAAGGTAAAGTTATTCCCACTTTTCTGAGTAAGTGCCAGATTGATTTCCAAAGTGACTGTACAAGTTTGCACTCCCACCAGCCACGGAGGGATGGTTCATGTTTGGTTCTGCATGAACTTTGGGTGATACCCATCTGCCACTTTACCACTAGATGGGAACCCGCTGAGTTCTCAGACTTGGCTGTTTGCTTTGTTGCCTGTGTTCTGGTTTTTAAAATAAGAAGATGCTCTGAGACTTGGTTGGCTATACCTCAGAACTCCCTTTCCGTGTGTGGAGCCTGGGGATAAACCCAGTGCTCTCTCACTTGACTGGATGCCAGGAGCCAAGGCGCTTCCCCACGTTAACAGAGAGTTTCTCATGAAATCTTCCTGGCCGGCTTATAAATCAAGGACGGACGGGGGAGACAGATCAGGGCTAAGGGTGCTGCTGCTCTTCCAGAAAATCAGAGTTCAGTTTCTATCACCCACATCAGCACACAACCTCCTGGAGCCAGAACTCTCCTCTGGCTCCTGGGGTACTGGCACACATGAACATATAAACCTGCACAGACACATAAATAAGTAATAAAAACCTTTTTGGAAAATGAAAGGCAAGTCTTATTCTTGATAATGCCTTGATCTCACCATAATTTGGCTATGAAATTACACTTGTTTTGTCTTGCCTGTTTAGTTAGAACAAAAACTAAAGATCAAGAACTATGGCTCAGGCATCTTTTTATCTCGTGTGGGCCCATCATAGAACCCCAGGATCAAAGACGCTCACCAGCAGTTTGTAATTTACTCATAAAAGACACAAAACATATGGATTATTTATTGTAAAAATGTCATTGTCTGTTTCTTATGTTTGTGTGTGTGTATATGTATGTGCATATGTGTATCTGCATATGTGTGAAAGTGTGTGATGTGGATGTATGTGTGTGTACATGTGTGTGTACATATATGTGCTTATGTATGGAGACCAGAGGTTGACAGCTGATATCTTCCTCACTGCCCCTCCATCTCACTTTTAACCACTTCACGCTGTTTGCCTAGATTTGTTATTCAGAAAGAGCTCCAGGACCCCCTGTTGCCATCTCCAGAGTAACCTGTGATGATTGTGCTGACACTTTGGGTAGGAGCTGAGGGTCAGGCTCAGGTACTCGGGACTTACAGAGTAAGCACTGTATTAACTGAGCCAGTTCCTCAGCCCGGTCCTGGTGGTTTTGATGGGGGAAGAGAAATTGCTTTTCATTATTGAAGGGAAATCTAGAAAAAAGGTAGGTATGCGCATGACCAATCAGTACCAGCCCTGTGGCCGGTCTAGTTCCCTCAGAAGCAGAGCCACGTGGCTTGAAACGTGGCCGCCTTCTCATGCCTCCTGTGTGTCTTCCTGTTGTGTTCCTGCAGGGACTCCGGAGAGCCTCGCCGAGAAGGAACGCCAGCTCATGGGAATGATCAATCAGCTGACCAGCCTCCGGGAGCAGCTCCTGGCTGCCCACGATGAGCAGAAGAAGTTGGCTGCATCTCAGATCGAGAAACAGCGCCAGCAGATGGAGCTGGCCAAGCAGCAGCAGGAGCAGGTGAGAGAGATGGGGGACCAGGGGATCCTCAGCCAGCTGCTGCCTGGCCTTAGTCAACAGTGTTCTTAGTAGAGAAAGATGCGTAGCGTTCCCTCCCATTCCCAGCCTCTAAGAAAGTAGAGGAAAAGGCAGTGAGCAAAGGGGAACCATGACAGTGGGATGTGTTGGTCATCCGACCTGGAAGACATAAACTGGAATGCCTGGAGTGCCCCTGAGCCTTATCTTACCTTTAGCACCAGCGTGATACCACTCATGGAAACTCTGACAGCTAGACTCATAGGCAGGGTCACAATCAAAGCTCAGGAGCACAAAACATACTGTGCACAAGTCTCTTCAAGACACTGGCCCGAAGTGTCTAAGACACGTACATGAATGTCACTTCAGACTTGGGTCGCCTCCCCAAAGGTATCATAGAGTCCAGCAACAACAGCCTAAACAAAGTGAAAGCCACTGTCATCAAACGCTTCTAGCCCCTAAGCAATCCACACAAACTATGTCTCAACTGTTAATTACAGTTTTACTCACTGGTTTGCTCAATCCCAGGAAAGGTCCTGGGATTTTCATCCTCTACAGTTGACACAACTGTTGTGACTGTGAATGTAACCCAACTGTGGCTACCTGCCATGGTCCCTGTGAACAATCAGACATGGGTGCATCAGCAGATAGTGGGGGGGGCCCAACCTCTTCCCAATGAACGATTGGCTCTTGATAGATTCCGGGATGGGGAGTCATTGTCTCTGCTTGTGTACCTGCAATTGAGCTTACCTGGGTCTAGTAGACAGCTCCAAGCTCATAGTCACATAGACAGTCCTGGCTAGAGTCTCTGGGTAACAAAACAAAATGAGCAAACACAACTACGAAAAAGAGATGTGTAGGGAAGAGACAGGTAGCCGGGGCTGGTAAGGAAATGGGAGGTAATGAATTACAAGGGTGGTCAGTGCTCTAGAGCTATGTGAAAGCCACAAAAAGCCAGAGTTAATCAATACGTAGCCGTGAAGTGATGGAAAGAATGAACAACAGTGGAGAGTTCAGGAAACACTTGGAAGTAGAACATTTTGAGAGAGAATGGCTAATAATAGTGCCAGTTAGATTCACTTTGAATAGGTGGGATTCAAACAGGGAAGCAGGGTTCTAATGGGGAGGCAAGAAGTCAGTAGATGTTACAGAGAGTACACACACACACACACACACACACACACACACACACACTCGAGACGGTAAACCTGTCAGTGTGGATAATTACTGTGGACACAGAGTGGAAAAGGACTGAATGGAGAATTACAGTTAGGGGGTTTGTTGAGTGAGCAGAAGGAAGAAGGACCCTGAGTGGAAACGGGGATGGGATGAAGGTTTGAACTGAGGAAAGAAATACCCGGGTAACATGATTTGTATGGTGTGAGATTTTCTTCAGTCATTTTTCCTTCTTTACTGGTACTTTATTACATCATAAAAAAAGATTGCATTTTTTTTTTTCGGTGAGAGGTGTTAATGTTTTAATTTTGCTTTTTCTTTTTATTATTTTTTTCCTCCTCCTTTTCATCATCATTATTATATATCTTACTGTATAGCCCCGGATGTCCTGTATTCTTAACCCTCTTGGCTCAACCACCTGAGTTCTGAGCCCACCCTGTCCATTATGTTTTAATTCTTAGTGAAATACCTTATCACTTCGCTTTCAGATGTATTCATGCTGTTATTGAGGGCCCCTGTAAATTTAGCCTTGTGATGAGTTCTGACAACTTTCTGTGACAGTAATAAGCCAGCCTTGCCCTTAGGTTTCCAGTGTCATTAGCTATGTCACACCATGGCTCAGATGAAGGGGTCACCTCGCAGAGGTCCCCTGCTTGCTTTGGAGGACCTGAGAGCAGCTTGTTCTTTTAAATATAAATGGGTTTTCTGCTCATTCCATCATACATTCTTGGCCCATCTATGAGTGACAAAGGTAGATTCTAGAATGCTTTCCTTTCTCAACATCTCTGGCATTCTTCTTGGAACCTTACCGCGCTGAGATATTTCCAGAAGAGCTCTCCTTTGGTAGAGATGCCTAGAGATGCTCCCTCCATAGCCTTGAGTGTCCTTGGGAGAGGTACAGGTCAGTCTTCAGAATGCAGTTCTTCCAGTCTGGTCATCTGTCTGGAGCAGGCATGGACATCCCCACTCTGCATTCACAGATCCTCTTTTCTCTTAAGATTAGGGGCAGGAGCTCTGGAGTCAGCTCTGCGTGTAAAGTCTTGACTCCTACATATGAGGGGCTGAGTTCAATCTTTGAGAAGCCATTCTAAAAAAGCCAAGTGTGCTGATGTGTACTTGTACTGAGAGAAGGGGGTCCCCGGGACCCACTGACCTATCAGCCTAGTCTACTCAGCAAGATTCCCAACAATGAAAGACCTGGTTTCCAAAAAACATATGGTAGACAGCATTTGAGGAACCAAAGACAATGTTTTCCTGCCTTTCCCCACCAGAGAGAGAGAGAGGGGGGAAGCTGGCTTTCCCAGACCTGAGAAGTCCTTTATCCTGACCCTACGTTCTGTGGACTTCCCAACCAGCCTAGGATGCCATCCCTCTGCATGTACTAATGGCCACAGACCTCCAATGTTGGGGATGTGTTTACCCATCAATCTCACATGGTCTTCTCATAGCTTCTGAACTCTAGTCCATGGCATCTGTTCGACAAATCCATATCAGTCAGGTTCTGACCTAGTTACTAGATGTTGAGAAGGACATAAAAATACCCCTGTGAGCTACAGGGCATTTTGATGATGTTGGGAAATACAAAGCAGCGGATTGTAAGTGAGGGTCTAGAGACAGAGCCATGCTTTGTTAAAGCTGCTGCCTTAGAGAAACTGAGCAGGCAGTACTTGAACAGAGTCTTGTAGAAGGTGAGGGAGCCAGCCACATGGCCACTTAGCCAGGGGTTCCCAATGGGAGGCTGTAGCAAAAGCCGTGAGAAGTTGGAGCATGCTCATTGTATCCAAGAGGGTGCTACAAGAGAACTGTGGCAAAAATGGAGAAAGAGCACAGAAAGAGATGAAAGGGGAGAAGCAGGAGGCCAAACTATGTGGGCTTGCAGTCACGATGTGGCTGCTGCCTTGTACTCCCGAGTGGTGCAAAAGGGTTTTGAAAAAATGAATAGCATGGTGTGCTATGTCTTTAAAAAGATATCTATGGACAGTAGCTTATAATAGACTCGAGGAAGAAAGAGCAGAAACCAGAGAGCAAATAGGAAGGAGGTGGTTACATCCTCCTAGCTTAGTTGGTAGCTTAAAACAGGAGCGAGGAGGGAGGGGTTGAAGTGACCATGTTCTTGACATATTCTTGTGATATCTCTGAAAGAAACTAGGTGTCAAGTGAAGTAATGCCATGTGAGAGGCAAGACCCAGACCTTGGCAATAGTAATAGTAATAGTCTTAAAGAAACAAACAACCAAAACTCCACCTTGCTGCTTCAAAAAAGGAAATGCTCTTTTCTATGCTGTAGCAATGAGGGCAGAAAGATAGCAAATTTGTTCTGCAGCCATGAGAGGAATGACATAGTTCTGTTCCACAGTCATGGAGCCCACCCCTTCTTTTTACCTTTCACCCTCAATTTTCTAATAAAAAAAGTAAAGGAGACATTTGTGTCATAGAAATTATAGGAAAATCCAGGCTCCTTTGTAAGAAAAAGATATAGAGTTATTTATTCCAGAGGTCAGGTTGCCTCTCCTGAGGTTTTCTCTAGATCTCGTAGTATTTGAAGTCACCTCTTTACTTTCTGGTCTCAGTAAGTACACACTCATCTAGGCAAATGCACACATCTGGTCTTTCATAGCACATGATGTGCCTTCATTACATTCTTAAGTGTTTTCAGGGATTAGGAAGTTCTTCCAAGTAAATACAAAGCCATAGGTCAGGGTGTTGTTCTGAGTTCACACAAAAGGGGCTGAGTGTAAGCAGAAGGGATGTGACTGCTGTTCCCTGAGGTAGAGAATTTCCAAGGTCGTCATACGCAGGTCTAAATCTCAACTAATTCCACACCTGTTGAAGTTGAAGCATCCTTGAGTATGTGTGTGTGAAGCTTAAAACAGACATGTTGGCCATGAGAATGAGCACAGAACCTTTTAGCACATGTATGAAAGGAGACAAGGAAGGAAAGCATTTACATTAAGCACTTCAAGGTTCCAACATCTAATTATGATGCAGAATCAAAGCAAAAGAGTGCCAGGTCACAGAGCCAGGAGAGAAAATTCAAGACTGAATGCATTGGGTGGGGCTTATAACACATTTTGAAAGGGAGAAATACAGGTGATTCGAGACCCAGGGAGATAAGTGTGCAGAATAGAAGAGGACGTGAAGGGCCGCTGTTCAAGACGTTTGTGAGTGGCCGAGATGGGCATAGTATTTACTGCAAACCAACCAGCCCCAAAACTTCACTGAGGAATCTAGTATCTTTGATACCTTGGGCTTCTCTGAACTTTGGCCCCAGCAACCCCTCTTTTTGGCACAACACTTTTCATAGAATGATTGACAGCATCAGTAGAGGACCTATTGATACCTTGCTGTGGAGAATAATAATCAAAAGCCTCCTGTGTCTTACTGGGAGGGGCCATTGTCTAGGCTCCAAACGGTGTAAGTGGTGGCTGAGACTAAATGTCTCCTTGGATCCTCCTCAAGGATGACAGTTCAGCTCACGGAGGAGTGGCAAGTCCAGCTGTGATGGGCACCGGGTTGTTCCCCCCTGCCCTGGGTCTCACTGTATTGTCAGTGTTCTCTGTTTCTCCACAGATCGCGAGGCAGCAGCAGCAGCTTCTGCAGCAACAACACAAAATCAACTTGCTTCAGCAACAGATCCAGGTCAGAAATCAGCATTTCAGCATCCTTCCAGTTAAAGAGAATCTGTCCTTTCTCAGTCTTCTATAATTTAATGGAAATGACCCCCTAGCTGGAGGCCCTTTTGGCTCAATTCTGTATGTATTGTCTGTGTGATACAACTCTCAAGAGCTGGCTCTACCATAGAGCAAACTTTGTCTGGCAGTATCTGAGCAGGCTGCCAGCAATTTCGACCCCATACCTAGGGGATATCATTATAGAACACTGTTTCACTCCTTTGTGCTTTACTGTTGGAAGTCACGCCTGTGGACATTCCTAATGGGGTGGGTGCAAGGACCCAGCAGAAAGTCTACAGCTGGGTTTGGGTTAGAACTCAGAGGTTCCATTGATAGCCACTTGTGATCAAAGTGGGACACGGAGAAGGTAATGAATCCGTGTGCATCAGATATCACAGTGGTATTGCCTGCGAAAAAACAAGTCCATGTTTATTCTTTGAAGAATCACAATGTTAAAGGACTTTGATAAGAAGGCATCTGCCATGGTAGTAGATGATGAAATTAATCATCAGAGGAGATGTCTTTTCTAGTATGTGCTGCCTACGTAGACAGAGTTCTCTCCTGTCCATCTTGAAGCCCCTTTCCTGGCAGCATGTAAGTGATGCCATCATTAAGCGCTCGCGCACTGGGGTCTAGTGAGGTGTGACTTTATCACCCTGAGGTAGAGGCCAGGTGCCCAGCAGTGCCAGGCTTGCCGAGGTTCCATGGGATTCTGTTATCATACAATAGAAAGGCAACAACTGTAACCTTTCCCATGGTGGTAAGACACGGTGTCTGCTGAGCACTGGACTCCTACCAGCCAAGGATGGATACGTGAAGCCAGTAATTAACGTCGGGTCATAGCTTGTCTGGAAGCAAGACCTGGCTCCAGGATTAACTTACATTTTTCTGTGTGGGTAAAAGTCATCATTCTCTTGAAATTTTCTCTCAAGGATAGTATATTTAATACTGTAAATGCCATAGAAGCAAATGTTAAAAACTATTTCATTCAGTCATCAGTGTAGCCTTAACTGTTTTACTAAACATGCCCTCCCATTTATCTGGAGGAGTCAGCGCCTCCGACTTCATGCCAAGGCATGCAGACTGATGCTTACTCTTTCTCTGCCCACCTTGGGCAAGAACTTGCGGTCACTTAAACTGTGTTTGTTATCTGGAAACACTTATCTACTCCTCGGATCTCAGTGCCTTTCTGTTCCTTCAGAGCGAGCGCGGCTGTAACACCCTATAGAACCCGGCATAGCAACCACCGTTACTCATCTCTGCTGCACCTTCTGAGCGCTCTGCGTCATTGTTATTTCCGCCTCAAAAACAATGTGTTCCAGTCCCTACACTGTGGCACACACAGTTACCTCAGACACAATTAGGCTGCCCCCGAAACTCTTTGTTTTAACTTCAAATACTGTGGTAGTTTAAGTGGTCTACCTGCGAAGCGAGGCATTTGCCATTGGCCGCTGGTTGGACAGCTGGACTCAATGGGCTAGACTGAGTTTGTGAAGACTGGCAGCTGCATGGCTTCACAGTGCAGAACAAAATATCTGCTCAGCGTGTCCCTTTGTCTCTCGTGTGTCTCTCTGAAGGTGAGGGTAAGTTAGGTCTCTTTTTTTCTCCCCACTTGAAATGTATTGTTCAATTAAAGGAAATGAGTGCATTTTCACGTTTGTGCACAAACATCCATATTAAAATCGCTCTTGACCTGAGAATTTTATCTTCTCAACCCTTCATGAACAGAATGAAGACAAGATTTACTCTGGCATGGCTTCCGCTAAGGGAAAAGCACACACTAATTTGCACACGAACCGCTTTCCCTAAATTGCTGAGGGTCGGTTCTTTATGAAATATTTTTTAAAATTTATTTTTATTAATTACAGTTTATTCACTTTGTTTCCCCCCCTGTACCTCCCTCCCTCCCAATCCCACCCTCTCTCTTCCCTACCCGTGTCTCTCTCCCAGTCCACTGATAAGGGAGGTTCTTCTTCCCCTTCCCTCTGATCCTAGTCTATCAGGTCTCATCAAAGAGTGGCTGCATTGTCTTCCTCTGTGTCCTGGTAAGGCTGGTCCCCCCTCAGGGGGAGGTGATCAAAGAGCAGGCCAATCAGTTCCTGTCAGAGACAGTTCCTGCCCCTATTACTGTGGAGGCCACTTGGACACTGAGCTGCCATGGGCTACCTCTGTGCAGGGGTTCCAGGCCATCTCCATGAGTGGTCCTTGGCTGGAGTATCAGTCTCAGAAAAGACCTCTGTGCCCAGACTTTTTGAATCTGTTGCTCTCCTTGTGAAGCTCCTGTCCTCTCTAGGTCTTACTACCTCCCACTTCTTTCATAAGATTCCCTGTGCTCTGCCCAAAGTTTGCCTATGAGTCTCAGTATCTGCCTTGATACCCTGCAGGGTAGAGCTTTTTAGAGGCCCTTCTGGTAGACTCCTGTCCTGTTCCCTGTTTTCTCCCTCCTCCGATGTCCATCGCAATATTTACTATAAAATCCATAATTTTAATATGACCGCATATTCTTCTTATGTATTTCCTGGTAGAGGCTTAGTAGGGTTGCCATCTTCTGACAGGGCTGTTCACACAACTCGTTAGTGTTAAAAGAAGAAGTAAAGCTTCCGTTTTATGTTTTAGTCACAAATAATTATAATGGTCCATGCTCAAAGGCTTATCCTAACACCGAATCACCCATCTTCCCTCGAGACCCTGTCCCGGTCTTTATGAGAATTGATGCTAGGGCCGTGGGAGGTCCAGCCTTCCTTCTCTCCACAGTGGCAGCGTCTCCTAAGATGCTCCCCTCCTGGCCTTAAAAGAGTGACAGTTTTTATTCCTACCTGTTGTGTCCCACCCTTAACACACAATAAGACATGAAATGGCATTTATAAAGATCTCAGAAAAAGCTGTCTTCCCAGTGTTCTTTTTTTTTTTTTTCATTTTTGAGAAACTTCTGTTGTTAGTGGCGTTTCCCTTTTTCTCTGTTTGCATTTTCTACAGTAGTAACATTTTAGCGGTGTATTTCCTGATTTCCTTATACAGTAAGTCTCCCTCTGTTCGATATGGATGATGGATGCTCTGTGTTCCACATAATGAGCCAAGGCTGGCGGTCCATCTTGACCCAACTCACTGTATGAAAACCTTTTAGGCAGGAAAACACATGACCTCCACTCCACTTCTCTATGACAACAAGTCAAGTGTCCCTAGAGATGCACATTTCTTTTCTTGTCAGAACGTCTGAGGAGATGGAGTTTCTGGAGCTTTGGGGGAGGTATTTAGAGGCATGCCTTATTTTGTAAGTTTTGCTGATTCTTAGCAGTAGTGGTTGGAGCCCGTAGAACTTAAGGGTCTTCTTGACGGTGAACAGTGAGAATTCAACAGTGCTCATGTATAAAATCCTTCAGTACATTTGACGATAGCCGTCTGCTGGTAAGGTGCCTGGTCTCATGACTCCCAGACAGGACGTTAGGTTTGAATTCTGAGAGAATCACATAGTTCACTCATCTGACCAACTCTCAAACCATTGTTCATTGTGTTCTCTTGGGAGAAAAGAATTAGTCATTTACAACCGCTGTTCTGGTTTTTGATCCGTAAGGTGAGCACGCAGGATTAGTCACAGCTCTGGCTCGTTGACGGGCCTGGCTGCGTGTGAGTGAGGAAGTACCTTGTTCCCCTGATGACCCCACTGGGCATGAGCATGACCCTCTACACCACAGACCAGGACTCAGCCCCTTGGAGTATACCTCAAGCTGTTTCTCTGAGGAGAAATGCTCCTGCCTGAGCTGTCCTCAAGCCAGCCTCTGCATTTTCATGCTTTGCTGGATCTGTGAGACCGAGATGCTGGCTTGTGTCCTCTGAGGTTCGTTATTCTCAGCTGTGAAATGGGAATCATGATAGCTAAGCGGGAACACCATTCTCTGAGGGCAGTTGTTCAGTGAACTACATCGGTAGAGAGAAAAATGAGTTTTTCTAGTATTCCCATGGCTGGGTGACTTAACTGTTCTAACCACACACAAATACATGCACACTCACATGTGTATGCATGGACACTCACACACATACTCATATACATGTATGCACACAGAAATACTTATACACAGAGATAGCAGTATACACAGGTATGCAGACATAAACATACATTCACAGAGAGACACCTGCACACATACAGTCACGGTCATATACACACGCAGACACATGTACACATACATACAAGAAATGCATACACATCTATAGACACACATATACAAAGGTGCACATACATACATGGAAATACATACATATACATGCACAGTCATACACATACAAAAATATATGTACATGCAAACATACATATGCACTACACATGCCCATGTCACATGTATGCACACATACACACAGACATCTCTCTGTATACGCATACTTATATATACACACACTTCTAGAGACACATATATCACATGTATGCATTACACAAGAACACACATGCCTCCATACACACACATGAACACAGTCTATGTGGGGTCATTGCAGAAACTGATAGTATGATCTTCCAGATTCATGGGCCTTTAGAACTTCAACGGGGTTCTAGAAGGTTTATATCTGTACCCATCTCTCATTGTCGCATTTGTGATCAGAAACACTCAGGCTTTGATTTTCCCGGTGTCTGGAAGTTGGGGATAGTGGCTACTTTCAAATATCCCACGTTTGGCCCCATTCATTTTTATCCTACAAATATCCTATCATTTAAGGCTTAATGACCCAACTTTGAAAATGTCTTCCTGCCCCGCCGGAAACTTATGCTTATAAAGTCAAAATGCAACTTGACTTAAGTACAATTGAATGATTAAGTTGCAGTCATTGGGCTCAACCAATTTGTGATAAAGCTTCATTTTCTTGGAGCCAAAGTTCTCTGAGCTCATTAGAATTTGGGTAATTCTTGATAAATTATTATGCAGAAAGAAACCTACTGAAATACTGTATTGAAAATATAATAATGTTAGCGGTGACATAATC